TCTATGTAACATTCCTTCAGATATTTAAAGATGGCTGTCATCTCACCTCTCAGTCTTCTCTTCTATGTGCTAAAGATACTGAAACTCCCTAAACCATTCCTGCTAGGGTTTGGTTTCCAGACTTTTCACCATGTTGGTTGCTTTCCTCTGGACACATTTGACCTTGTCAATATCTTTCTTGAAGCATACTGGTCAAATTTGGACACAGAACTCCATATGAAATTTGATCAAGCCAAAACAGATCTTTTTTCCCCTCTTGCCTTGAAGACTAAATGTCTGTTTATGCAGCCGAGAACTGTATTGGCCTTTTTAGCTGTTGCATCACACCACATTGACTCTGATTTGCCTTGTGGTCTGGTTAAATGGTTGTCTGCATGGGTGTCCTTCCAAGCTACCTAGCATGTCCACCATCACCATGGGTCACTCGTTTTTGAGGTCAGAACAAGACAGCCAGCAAAAATCACATGGCTAAGCACCTTGTACTGACCTCAGAATGAGAGACCTGCAGTGGTGGTGAATGTGCTGGATGGTTTAGTGGGGCGCCAATGCAGACAGCTGCCATGGCATGGAAGTTGTGGGGTCTGGATTTTCCTGGAAGATTCGGATCAACAGCTAAGTTTTTAAAAATTCACATTGAGGCTGTTAACCCCCAGTTCTAGCACAGAACATGCCATTCGTCATTCAGACTGTTGACACCAGAACTGAGGTTTGGGATGTGCATCATCTGAACAGGACAAGTGGAGTCTCCTTCTTTGGAGGATTTCAAACAAAGGGTGGATGGCCATCTATCACAGGGAGGGCTTGGATTGTGTCTTCCTGCATGGCAGAATGGAGTTGGACTGGATGACCACTGGGGGCTCTTCCAACTCTAGGATTCTATGATTCTAGGACAACACCAGAACAGGGGTTAGTGGGAATGGGCCTTTTGGCTGGGGCACATAAGGTCCAAGTCAGGTGTCTCCCATCTGTATATGTTTGTGTATGATTTTCCCTATCTGAATGTAATACCTTACATTCATCCCTGTAGAGATTCACTCTGTTAAGTTTTGGTCCAGTTCTCCAGTTTGTCCAGGGCACTTTGAATCTCAGCCTGTCTCCCTCTGTTCTGTAAGGAGGCATGTATACTCATGGCACATATATGCACCCAGCCTGCCTGATGCACAAAAGAAAGCCTGAAGTTTGTTGTGCCTAGCGATTAGAGAATTTATCTCTTGTGGGTAGAAGAGAAGTTGGACTTTGAAGATCCTCTTGGGGCTGATCTTTAAATCTTATATCTCTCTTTGCCTTATGATGAGATGAAGCAGACCCGCAGCCTCCTCCAAGGCCAGGATGGGTGCACGCATTTTTGTGAGTCAATGGGATCAGCCCCTTTGCTGTCGCCCTGTCTCCAGCTCCGGATTACAGATGTCTTCCTCTTCAGGGTGACCAGATGTCCTGACTGCAAAGGAGGAGAAGGTACCAAAAATGTAGGACGATCAAGAAAAATGTAGGGCATTGCAAAATAAAAGCTAAAAAGACTAATACAAATGTGAATTCCTGCTTTTTACAGATGCTCTAATTTTGACATTTTACCTGGACAGAAGGTTGAAATGTAGAGCATGTTCTGGAAAAGGAGGATGTCTGGTCACCCTGCTCCCTCTTTTTCTCATGCAGAGTGGGAAGCCTTGCTCTGCATCTCTGATCATAATGTATCTTGGGGGGGCGGGGTTTGACCTCAGATCAGGTCTCGCCAAATGCTTCCAAATTATTTTTCTCTGCTCAAAACATCCCAGTCGCTGTTGGTATGGGTTTCTTCTTCCTGCCACAATCTGTAGCTGCCAAATTAATGTTAAAAACTAAACTGATAAATGATGCTCTAGGGAGAAAAAAAATTAGAAAGGAAGGAAAAAAGCAAAGGAGTCCAGCTGAGATTAATTTTCAGTGCCCTTTCTTGAGGAGGGTTTGTAGGATGTGCTCAGCATTAGAGAGATGCCAAAATAGGCTCTTAAAGAAAAGAAGCCAAATGCATGCATTAAAATATGTCTTCTCTCTCTCTCTCTCTCTCTCTCCTAAAGTAGGAATGCTTTCTTGTACTCTAGCGTTAAGGGTGATAGCTTGGAACAGCTAGGTCTAGGCAGCCAAGATGAGGGCACAGCCACTGCCAACTCCATCACCCTAATGGTTGACTGCCAGTCTTAATGCTGATTGAGTTCCATGCTATTTGGATGCAGGGGTGTCACTAGGGCGTGCGGGGGGGGGGTGCAAGCTGCATGAGGTAACACCTTAAAAGGGGGTTGATTTTTTTTTTAAAAAAAACTTTTAAATTTTTTCTTTAGAAACATCACATCTTACCATATATTCACTTTAACCCCATGAAACAATGTACATGTAAATACGTTCAGGCTGTGTGCATGATATTGTACCGGTAATTTAAAGGTATGATTTTCATTTTTGTTGTTGTTCTGTACTTTCAAGTCATTTCTGACTTATGGCGACCCCTAAGGCAACCCTAATATGGAGTTTTCTGGGGCTGAGAGGGCGTGACTCACTTGAGGTCACCCAGCAGGTTTCCAGGCCAAGCATGCTTTTAAACCTGGATCTCCAGAGTTCTAGTCCTATGCTCAAAGCAGTACTCCACACTAGTTGTTTCTGTCTCAACTATTACCATTACATTCAGTGATAAACAGGAATTACAATTTATGAGTAACGTTAGTACAGAGAACTTTACTAAGGATTCTATATGGTGTGGTATGGAAGGATGGCAATGGTGGTAGGATGACACCATGAGTTACTGCACCAGGTGATGCCAACCCTAGTGACACACTGCTTGGATGGCTGAGCAACATTGATGTACCCACCAAACCAACTCATAGATGCTTTGGGCATTCATATATTTTGGAGGGTCTCTACCTATATATTTCTGCCTAAGGACTCAGGTCTTTTGGAAGAGCCCTCACCCCTTTGTGTCCTTCCAGTAGGGACAAAATGGGAGCAGGGTCTTCTCTGCTATGGCACCCCATTTCCGGAATGCCCTCTCCTTGGAATTGTGGTTGGCATTGATGTCAGTTTCAGTCTGTGCCCATGTTAAAACAAGGCTGTTTATTAAAATCTAACTGATTTATTATTATTTTTTTAAATGGCACATATTTGTAAACTATTTTAA